GGTGAATAAACAGGCACGTATGTGCTACGGACCGGAGGGTTGGAGGCACTTCGTACTAGCTACTAATGACGCTATGCAACTGTAGTAGTATCGTTGCATAGCCGGTGAACGATCGTTTAAGAAATATTGTCACATGTGCCTTCGCCTTTTACGTATCGTTAAAGATAAAAAATTTTTAAGATTACAATTTTTTTTATTTTGTATTAAAAGCGAACGTAAAATCGATCTTCAGCAGGCACTGTAAATTTTATAAAATATTTAACATTGTGGCGTCTTTACGTGGTGTCAAAAAAATTATGAAAGCTAAAAAATCTACAAAAGAATGTTTTTAATTAACTATGTCACTTTGTGTAAGGCTTCATGTTCAACCATTAATTAAACACAACTACAAATTAAGCCTGTACATCTTAATACAAGTTTATATAGAAGCGTAAAATAGCGGGCGTGTGTGATGTGCGAATGACCCCGGCATACAAAGCGTATAAGCTTCCGTGTGCTCCCACCATTTTAATCTGCTCCGCTCGATTTGACTCTCGAATAAACGAAGGCTGTAAGAGAAAAAGCCGCTGCAGGAAGCCATCTATTATAAAAGGGCTGCCTGAAGTGAACTCAGTCTCTCCGAGTCTGTCGACTCATCTTATCACGTACTTTCTAACGCAATTAATAAAATAACGCGCTCACCAAATTATATAATACAACAACAAAAATTTGCGAGTATTAGCTATCAAGGTATTCTAAGTCTAAATCAGTTTTTAAAATTATATTTCATCAATTAATCGTTAAAAGTTATTTATTTCATGACATTCTTTCTATTTTTATTTATTATTTTATACAAGCCAAAAAATAATTGGAACAATTTTTGATAATTGGAAATAAAACAGCGGAAACAGCGTTGAAATTATTTTGAATAGAATACAATTGTTAATTTTCATTTCTCTGGCTCAGACAATTCTATTAGTAACGACATAATAACAAGATCTGAAATTACGGTCAAACTAATATAGAAGTCTTTTTTTGCGAATGCGTCAAATGCGCTCAATCGCACAAGAATAGAAGTGTAGGAACAACAAGAACTCTAAGAAAATAGACTCTAGTAGCTAAGAAAACGCGTTCCTATATCGAGTTCTTACATCAGCTTTCCTGCATCTTATAAACCTTTTTGTCTTGTCCCCATTCCTCTTGCGAATACGAAACTTGGGAAGTCTATTGTATCGTGAAAATAAAAACACTAACTGGGAAGCAGCAATTAACCACATCAAGAGCGCAAGTCGCGTTGATTTAAGGAGGATCGAGATCGTCAGCAATTGTGATAGCTAATTGCACGTGTTCGATCATTTACTCGAACTAAGAGAATTTTTTTAAACGAGTTTTACTCAATCCTCTAATTATAGAGTTGGTAGTTTGTTAACTTTTATTTAAAATTCGTTGTTTGCAATATCGGAATGTCGATTATTGCTGCACTGTTAAACCACGTTAAAAATGGCAAAGTAAAAATACGTATATAAAAGCGAAATTGATAAAAGCAAAAATTTCTAATTACAACGTTTAATTTACTGTAAATTACACTTTTCAATAAATTTTTTATAAATGTATTTATCTTTAGTAAAATTGAAAATTAATACTTTATGTCTGTTTATACAAATTTTTATATTTATAATTATACTTTAAAAATATAAGCTAGAATTTATGAAAAATTAGAAAGAACAAAATAATAATTAAAAGTTGAAAGTCGAGTACCTTATAAAATCATCGTCTTTCAAGAATTTTTCTTCTTGCAAACGACTTTTCGCAGTTTTCTTTTCTAAATACAACTGACAAATTATAAAATAAAATGTTTGCTATCGTAACAAATATCGATAATTAAACTTCATAAACGTGTAATTACTATATGGAATTTATATTATTTTTATTTTCCACAACATAGTCTGTTATATACAGAAAAAAATGCTTTAACTTAAAACAAGTAATTTAATATCTTTAACCATATTTTTTGTTTCTTTTTATAAAAATAAAAGTGGAACAAAAAATTCATTTTACTTCCGAATTTGACGTTATCGAAATTGATTTCCACTTTATACGACACATTATCTGAAAAATTGTTAGGATAACATGTTAATTTAATGTTTTCTCAATAACTTACAAGATATGACCTTGACGCAAAGAGAACTTGGACAGTCAAATCGACTTCAATGACACAATGAGTTGACTCATCAATTGAGATCAATTACGGTCCTTAATCCGTAATGTTTCATTTTTCTACGAAATTAACTCATCAAGCATTTATTTTGGAATCTGCATAAATGTGTTTATTCGAGGTAGAAAGTTTTTTCTAAAAATATTTTGTATTTAAAAATTAATTTTTTTTTTTAATATTATTAGAGTTTATTTTATTAACAATTAGCTTCTGTGCGTTCTAAAAAATAATTTACTGTAAAACAAAAAATTCAATATCTGAAAAATCAACTTTAATAAAATAAAATTATTGTCACATTTCTCACAAAGAGATTTCTAACCCGAAATAAATTCCAACGGTTTAAAAGAGACACTCTGTGAGCGTCCGGAGGAAAAGATCCATTGCAACATGTGATTGTCAACATCAGACAATGTCGTACTTTCAGCACGGACGTCCCACACCCGGAAACATGTTCATTAGCATACTTCGATTAAACAATGTCCTTAGCAAGCGCGCTCTTCCCCAGGGAATAAAATAAGTACAGAGGGAGAGTTGCGGAAATGGTGCGCGGTGATACCACGGGCAAAGCGGAATTATTTATCTCGCGCCGGCCGCGCAGCGTCCAGGACCTTGATAAATAGATCCTCGCGCGAAACGTTGCAGCAGGTTCCCGCAGTCCGGACTCGAGAAAGGACCATTAGGTGGGATCTACCGTGGTGAAGAAATGAAAAAACAAAAAACAAAAAATAAAAGAAAAAAGAAAGCAGATCGGCGTGGGGTCGCGGAATAAAAGCGGTCGTTTATAGTCGCTCCCGCGGATGCTCCCGTCTTTTTTCATCAGACGCACCGTTATGGAAAATTGAAATAATTAATCGAGAGACCTCTTTTTCTCTCGTCTGTCTCGTTTCGAGGACGCGCCGCGCCGTTATTTCGCGAGCGCGGTATGAATCAACATTAATCAACCGATCGAAAACTCGACTTTTTTCCGTCTTTAAAGATGCATACCTGCTTGTACTTAAATTAGCTCGTTCAACGGAATAAAACTTCAAATCATTTGCCTCAGAAATAAAAAAATAGAATGCAAGAGTACCTCATAACGTTATTATAACGCTTATCATTAGACAGTAATTTTTTTCATGTAATTTACTGTAACAAGTTAACAAAATTGTATAATGTTATAATAGTCGAAAACATTTAATGTGATTTTGTTCTACAATATTGTATGTGTGTGAGAAAGGCAAAAAGGGTGACGATTAGAGAAGTTTGGTAAAAAAATAATAGGTTATTATTTATTAATTATAGATAGGGTGTCTGAGATCAACCACCGGTTAATAGCAGATTCTTGATGTAATTTAAACATAAAAACCTTATCACTATCTTAAAATGTCCAGGCTACAATAGTTTTCAAATGGGACATATTCTAAATTGACTTAGAATCAGATTGTGTTAAAAATTCACGCGCTCAGGCACGTCGCATATTGATTTTCATATCTTCACTATATAAGAAATTTCAGAAATCTATTATTAACGAGTGATACGATTAATCTGAGACATCTTGTACACTTCACATTATTCTTCAATCTATTCTCTTAATAATATTTAAATAAAACTAATTGAATCAACTTACCGGCACTATGTACAATAGCGGAGTTGTTCATAAGTTGATTTGCAACACAAAGTACATTCAAATTATAGCAGCGTTTCAAATAATTATTTGAAACGCTGCTATAATTTGAATGTACTTTGTGTGTTACAGATCAACTTGTGAACAACTCCACAGATGCGTACCATGCCGGAAATCAATCCAATTTATTTGATTTTAATATTGTTTTATATATAAGAAAATAAATTTTAAAATAATGTAAAATATATAAGATGTCTCAGACTAATTGTATCATCTATTAATAGCAAATTTCTGAGGTTTCTCATATGGTTTCTCATATGGTATTCCAGCCTCGACATTTTGGTATAAAGATTTTTGTCTTTAAGGGGTTATAACACCTTTGCGTAAGAAATTTTTCCTCTTTTTCATTAATTTTTTTCACATCTAAGGAATAGAGTAATCAAAAAACAGATTTGAGGGTTGATTTTATTATAGTTTTTAGTTATAAAATATATTTTTTAATTAAAAAATACTGAAAAGAATATCCTGTAGATGGCGTCAAAGATGACCCTTTGCGCTATGCCGGTCCAATCGGTGTGCAGGATTCCGGCTGACTGATATGACATAGAACAAAAATTCAAAACATCTCATATTCTCTGATAAATTTGCCTTGGAAGTACGTAGGATTTTTGAAAAATATTAATTTTTGTGGGATTTACAGTAACTTGAAAAAAAGTATACAAATCTTCACTAAAAAATCGTTTATAAAATTGATTCCCAAAAAAAAACTAACAATCCTATTAAAAAACGGCTACGTACTTCCGTAAAAAATTTAATTTGGCGCAGGATAAGCTTTGTTTCAAGTTAATCCGATGTAAATTGTGGGAGCTACGCTGCACACCAATTTGAAAAATGGTGTTTTACAGAAATCGCATTTAAAGTTTTGTAACGAGAAAACTTGTAATTATTAGGAGCTCACCGTTAATCTGCAATGCCTGCACCATACAGTTGACCTTCTACATTTATATACTCGTCATCTGTGGCCTTCCGAGCTGATGTCTGCTGCCTACGAGCTTCTTGAGCTTCCTTGGTCATGGCGCGCTCAGCTGCGCGGATCCGGCGTTCGTCTGTTTCAACGCAGAAATTGTAGCAAGTACTGCCAATTATCAAATTTAAGACTTGCATAATTTCCATTATGCTGTGCAAACCATCGTTAAAATTGCAAACAGCAATATTTGCGGCAATATCAACGATTGCTTTGTTACTATGAACAATTTTCGGTGCTATTGCCCACAGCACAGAATTGAAGCTCTCGTTGCTGTTTTGGGTAAACCCGCCAACACAGCGGGATAGCAACTCGTCTCGACTTAGTTCTTCATAAATTGGTTGAACAGCCTTAAAAACTTCATTATTCAAAGCTGCTTTGTGTTGGTAGTGATGTAATTCGTTGTGCGCTTTCGCCTGCTGCCAAGAACACCAAGAGTTTTCTCCGACTGGGCAACGGTCGTGCTGCGGTTCGCTGTCCGTGGAAATCTTGTGGAATAAAGTCGCCCATATTTCTCGTCTCATATCTTCAATGGAATTAGGATTTCTGCGAATAGCTAGACCATAATATATTGTCAACTCGTCGATCAGTTTGCCCGTCAACTTGCCTCTGCCTCCAAGGCCTCTTATATTTTTTTTCAAATTACGTAATCTCGTGCCCATACGTTTTTGAACGTGATCTATACATTCTTTTTTACAAACATTCAAATCATCATAAGGTTTCGAATCTAAAATGCCTTTGAATGTTTTGCTGTCCCCGTCACCGATGTAATGAGAATATTTTAAATTGTGCAATTTTTCGGACCGCTGAAACATTTCTATGACTGCGTCTACTTCCATCTTTCCCGACGAACCTTCGTGATTTCTTTCGCAGTTTGCTTCGTGATTTGCAGCCCATTCTTCATATTCGCTTGTATTTTGCTTTCCGTTCCACAAACTGCAGGCCTTACAGAATTTAGATTTCATTGCAATGTCGACGACTTTTCCCGTGCACCACCCTATTAGTGATACGACACCGAACAAAGACGAAAATCCCCTCTTTCTCCAGGTTCCGTCACCAGAAACTGTTATCCCGTCTATCTGTCCTCTTTCCAATGACATCTCTTTTTCTTTTGCAGCTGCTCGTTTTATTGAAGTTCCACACACAGCATTAGTGGCAACACGAATGTTTGAAATTATTTTGTCATAAAAAGACTGATACACTGGTATCGGCAAACACATAAATGCACAAAATTTTTTAATCCCATTAATTCCTATACCGAGTAATCTCATTGTAAATACCATTCGGCGATTTATGTCGTAAGCGTGATTGTTTATAAGTGGGCTAGAGTTAATATATTTTGGCACGCACTTTTCACAAATAACAGCAATTTTGAAATCTAGACCGCGACAACTGGATTCTTCAAACTTGATGTTCGAGCCACACGTTTTGCAAACAATTAATTGCGAAATGCTTGTAAAAACGGTAACAAAATTAATGAAACAATACCCAAAAGTTTTGTTCACGTGTATCTCGTAATCGTCCGTACTCGTTTTCAGTTTTTTCGCCGACGTGCTCACACTTTCAGTTTCGCCTTCTAAAGAATACCTATTTAAAGGTTGCCTTCTCTTTATTGAACTTCGACTTGCACGTGAAGTACTTGCTCTACTCCCTTTCTTATTTGCATATATTCTCTTTTTCGGCATTATTACAACAATGTTACGACGTTTCAATGCAATTCGAAAAGCCGAAGCCGGTGGTATAACAGAAACTGTTTGCAGTAAACAAACAATTCCGGCATGAAATAAAGTTTTTTGTTTAAATGATCGCAAGCGACATCTATAATACTATATTCAGGGCTGGGCAAAACACATTTGAAATACAAAATACAAAATACTAACTATTTTAGTATTTATTGCAAAATATCTTTAATTTTTTATTTAAAATACAAAATTTTTGTATTTTAAATCGAAAATTAAAAATTAAAAGTATTTTGTATTTTATAATTAATACCAAGATTGTGTTAGCATTGTACATTTTGTATTTCAAATATTTTATTGTATTTGAAATACAATTTGAAATACATTTTGCCCAGCCCTGATTATATTAAACTATACAAAACCCTCAACTACTCGACATTTGAAGTAGAAAGGCAGAATACTCGGAGAGCGCTCCGAGGCTCTCTCCGCGCGCTATGGCGCTGCGTACAAACATGACTATTTCGTACATGAAAGAGTTCCAGATCGAATAAAATTATATTCTGTACATTCCAATCATATCATTTAAGCCAAAAAAAAAATTTGAATTTTTTTGACCCTCAAAGGTGTTATAACCCCTTAAATCAGGAATTATGCTATTAATCGGTGATACGGTTAGTCTCAAATACTATGCATATTAAATAAAATAAATTAAATACATTAGAATTGGTCTTTAATTGTTCAAATTATTTAATTAGATTTATATGAAATGTGATTGAATATTTGAAACTTAATATAAATCTAATAAAATACTTGAAATAAACAATTAAAGAGAGAATAATTAAAGATAAATTAATAGTTTTAAGTATTTGTATAATTGAGCAAAAAACATTACTAAAATTAATAAAATATTTTACTTTATCGCAATTGTTATAAAACTATTTAGATGTTATTATTGTATATATTATTGTATATATTATTGTATATATGTTATTAATTGATACAATATTTACTGCTATTGCAACCGTTAAACACATTATGCGTTATCACGACTATAAAAATATTTTAATGTTGTCATAATGTGTAATATATGAAAACTAAAGATCATACTTGTATACAAAACTGTATTATTTTCTTAATTAAAGCGTTATATTTAATATTTGGAATATAGGATGCGAATTGTATTTCATTTGTAAAACTTCTTCACTAAAATTGTTTACAAACAATGTTTTAACTAATTATTAATGTTATCTACACGTAAACTCTCTGCTAATTTAATAATAAAAGGCATTTTTTACTTTCAAAAAGCTCGAAAAGCAAACAACAAATTTACAAGAATATATATTACATTAACTAAAATTGCAAAATAAATTCGCTTAAGTCCCGTTACGTTCTCTTTTATATTCCAATCGTTTAGCAATTATTTTATATAGATTTGTACAAATAAATTTATATACTTCGTGTGTATAGGGAATCCATGTTCCACAATAAATAATGTACGTAATTGAATGACTGGTAGTATTTGCGATTGGTCTCCGAGGATGCTACTGTACAATTTCGCGGAATATATACCATTTGCTCCTAAAAGAACCAAAGATGAAATGAAAAGTGTGCTTTCTATAAAATGCGTTTCGATATGTAATAGATAGTTGTGAGCGCTACAGCGCAATGCACGCTGTAGCACTCGCAGGCGTAATATAAATAAATGAATAAAATCCTCTCGTAATCTATATCAGATTGTATTGCAACAGGAGAGCGCATTCTGGTTTGAAATATTGATCTGGCCGAATTGTGGATGTTCTACCGAAATACATTAAAAAGACACGGATAGACGTTTTTTTCTCCGGCGCGAGATTGGAAGTAATGTCACGTATATACTTTCGAATTGTACGTCCGGTTTAAAATATCCAAAAGTAAAACGACAAGAGTAAAATGATCCCATCCGTATAAATGACGCGTGCTATCGACGTACAGAAAAATTTCCGTGTACGAATATTTTCTGTCAAAGCGTAATGTTCTGATTAAATTAAAAGAATTATTTTATAAATTTAATTTGTATTTTTTTATATTTATTTTATATATATTTTTTTATATTTATTCTAATAAACAAATATTTTATTGCATGTAATACCAATGCTAATTGCATAGCTTCGTACATATAAATTATGTGAATTCATATACGTTTGCGAAAACTATAGACCAATTCTACGTAAAACAATGGCAAAATATTTCACATATTATTGAAAGGTAAAGGTTTGTCGATTTATATGCAATTAATCGCAGAAATTTAGAGATGTCCTAATTTTTGTAGAATAATGCTGATTTTAGACTATACCTATTTGCTCTCATTAATAATAATTTATTATAAATAAAAAATATCTCAATAATATGTGCAATATATCTAATAAAGATTAGTTTTTTAAATTATATTTTAATTATTTATGCGCAATTTTTTATTTAAATAAGATTTTCAATTTATATGATTCAAATATATTATAAAACTAAATCCTACAATCTTGCACAAAAAATAAAAATCATATCTGAAAATTCCACAGCTAACTTCATCAGAACAATTTATGAACATTCATCACGTAACATAGCTTTGACGTTTCAATTAAATAACATTCTGCAATTCTTTGAAGATTACACTAATCCGAAAGATTTAAAACATTCAGTTAAAAAAATGTTATTCTAACACATGATACGTGCAATCCGTTAGCGAACTCATTCCTTTGCACAAAAATGCTATTGGAAAGCTTTACTCTCCATAAAAGCTAGCAGCTTTGCAGTTGCTATCCAACTAAAAAGTTGACAACTTTTTTTATTTTTACAAAATTATTTCAATTTCATAAAATCCTTTGCGTTTGTACATTTAAATTGAACTTTAGATTGGAATCATATAGAACTAACGTAATCCTCATCCATTGTCAATTAATACTATTTAGTAATAATTAGTACTTTTTTAATGCAGAATAAGTTATGGATTTAATTAAATCGTTTGTTTTCCTCGAAAACAAAACCTCGTATAAGAATTTATTCTATGTTTTCAACATATTTTTTACATAATTTAGATTATATCTCTTTCCTGATTGTATTGCCCAATTTTAGTTTAATCGGCATTCTGTATAGCTTAATAATAGTTTAAATGATGTACTATATTAAAATATCCAGTAATAATCCTGTCTAATAAGTGCACAATTAATTATCTTCAGTATATTTTCCAGTTAAAATACATATATGGATCAATTGTGAATATCTTTTAAGATATATCTGTCAAATATATTTAAAATCGTGTTTCTTAATAAGAAATAAACAAAATTCAATTTTATTCTTTTATATAAATTGATAAGCCATAAGTCATGCAATTTCTTTCTCTTATGCTCATTTCATCAAAGTATCTATTGTTGTCATCTGATAACACAGAAAATGTTCCACGATGTTTATACCAGAAGATAGAACATGTTGGCTATCTTGTCCGAATAGTCTTGTATATTGGAGATGAAAAATTCATGAGCCTCGAGATGCAACGTCCAATCTTAGGTATTTATTTCATGTAAGATACATGTGCGCGACCCTATTTTCCTCTTTTACGAAACACGATGTCCCATAATAACAATACTTAATTTTTCAGTATTTGTGCGATGAGTGGCGAAATATGCAAAAGCGCATATTAGAATGCAAAAAGAGAATATTTTATAAACAGTTGTTTTAAATAAAAACTTTAGGTGAATGTCAAAGACTTATGTTAATTTATATGCGATTTCCAATCCTTTAATATTATTTGATTTAATTTATTTTTAAAAGAAAATGTTTTAAGTTGTTAAAAAAGTCTAAATACATAATAAATTATTAATTTATGTAAAAAGAATAAAAAAAACGTTAAATATGATATTATATATCATGATTAGTTGAACTGAACTTCAATTAGTTTTCTTTCTAACTAGTATAAATGCTCTATAAAATGGTTGTGTATGATTAATAGCGTATAGTACATAGAGATTAAAGCCGATATTTGAAGAAGTATCGATTATCGCGCCAGTACAAATTGGAAGATAATTGGCTGTGTCAGCTTGCGTGCACCAGTCTGGTTCCCGACTGGACAATATCGTACAACGGGAATTTAATAAAGCTCCGACTTGGACATTGCGTAGGACGTGGCTGAAAGAAATGGACGTGGAGCGTGTCCAGCATGCACAGGACCCTCTTTCGTTCGTTCTTCTCCTATCACCCAGTCTACCGCATTTCCCAGCTCTTCTTTTGCGCGACTCACTCCGTTTTCTTTATTTTCCGATCGCGTGGATAAAGTTTGAGAATAAAGTGAAAGCTACGGAACAGCGTCATATGGCGAATTTTTATTTTTTGTAAAATAGATTTCAGTCGATTACCTAACCTTTTCTTTGATACCCCTTTTTGAATAAGACAACGCTCGGAATTAGTTGCACATTTCGAGCCGATTCAGGAGACGACGCCTCCTGTTCCCCCACTACCGCCCGGCCGCTGGCGGCCGAGCCGCCGATAGCTCTGGCTCAGGAGCGTTTTATATTAGAAATAGGCTGAATTGTTTAGGCATCTCTCAGGAAATCGTAACATTTTCTTCACTACATAAATGTTTATTTTCATTAATACATAATATATATATATTTAATTATTAATAAAAATAAACATTATTTATGTAGCGAAGAAAATATTACTATGTTCTGAGAGGCGCCTCAACAACCCAGCCTATTTTTTATATAAAAC